GACACCGTGTCCTTCCCAGCCCGGCCCTGGGTGCTGGCCGCTCCCTAGAGGAGAACCAAGTGGCTCCAGCGTATGTGGACGGGCTCTGCAGGCCCTGGCGAGGCCAAGTGACCCTGGCCAGGTCCCATTCATTTCCTGACCCCCGCCAGCAAACCCCAAGGACACCCACTCGCTGCCTTTCAGGCTCGCCAGGAAGACCAAAGGCATGTGGTGAAGGATGCAAGAATGAGTAGGGATTGGCCAGGGTGGCACAAACGGTTTGTGATCGGCCACCACTAACTACGTATGGCTTATGATTGGCCACTACGGACTACAAATGGTTTGTGATTGGTTATTACTAGCTATAAATGGTTTGTGACTGGCTACTATGAACTTCAAACGGTTTGTGATTATTGTTGCTAGGTGCCATCGAATGGATTCTGACCCATAGCGGCGTCCCTGTGCACAATAGAAACACTGCCCGGTCCTGTGCCATCCTCACCATTGCCCTATGCCATTGTTGCAGCCACTGTGCCAATCCATCTAACGGAGGGGCTTCCGCTTTACTGCTGCCCCTGCAGCTTACCCAGCGCGATGTCCCAGGAATGTAAGCCAAAGCATTGCCCTCCATGCCTCTAAGGAGCGCTCTGGCCTTACTTCTTCCCAGACAGATTGGTTTGTCCTGTCGGCAGTGCATGGTGCTTCCCACAGTTCAAATGCATCCATTCTCCTTTGGTTTGCGATGATCTAGTTCTAACTTGGTCATTCACACGCAGCAGCACCTCCGAAAACAGGACTGGTGATCGCTTTCTCTAGAGATTACCGACAGGGAGACCCCACGGAGCCTACGTGTGTGGTTGCCAGGAATCGCCAGTAGGTTTGGTTTGGTTGCTACACCGGCCAGGTGAGGAGGTAGAGGAAGCTATCCCAGGTAGAGAGGAGAGGATCAGGGAACAACCCTCTCCCCCTGTCGCAGGCCTGCATGAGGCGTCTCGGCAGAGAATCGGGCCGGAAACGTGAAAGGGGGCTTAGCCAAAGGAGGGTGGAACTGGGGACCCTGAGGAGATGGGCTGTAGGGGGCAAGGAGCAGGGCAGCGGGGTGGGGAGTGGGAGTGGTTTGCCATGAAGGGCTGTGGATGGGGCTCTGGGTAAAGGAGAACATGGTGGGCGTGTCCCCAGTTCTCCTGGAGCCACGTCCCCAGTATGTCGTCATTGTTTAAAGACAGCGAAAAGCGCACCCATGCCAAGTGCAAAGACATAAAATGGCCTGGTCCCCTGTGTCCCCTGTGTCCACCTGCGGACAGTTGATTCCCTGGAACTCCTAACCCCTTAAGTTCTCTGAGGGAGGGAGGGGTCCTTCTCTAGTGGTTTAACTCACCCTCACACCTACTGCTATAGAGAGTCTATTCCACTTCCTGGCAACCTTATAGGACAGAGTTGAACTGCCCCAGAGGGTTTCCAAGGCTGTAAGTCCTTACAAAAGCAGGCAGTCCTGTCTGTCTTTCTCCCTGGGAGCGGCCAGTGTGTTTGAACCCCCGGCCCTACAGTTAGCAGCCAGACATGTCGCCCACAGCACTACCAGGGCTCCTCAGTGGCTCCCCAGGGAACTCACAGTAACAGCTCGGCCTGAACCATCTGGTCCCAGCCTCAGTCTTCCCGGTCCCTTGGGTTTCCTTCCTGGAGTTCAGCTGCAGGCGCACGGAGCTCAGTAGATGCAGCAAGAGCCCAGCCTGGCTTCGCGCCAACCCCGTGGGAAACCCCTCCCCCCCACGCCTGATGTCCCCAACAAAATAAATCTTGCTGCTCCCTCGGAGCATCTCGCATGATCTTCTCCCGATTAACAACTCGGCCTGCATGTTCGTGGCTGCTCGCTGCCGACCTCAATTTGGAGCTGTCTGCTATTTGGCTGCTGGAGAAGGAAGGTTCTGGAGAGCCGGGAAGAGAGAAGGCCACGGGGCAGTGACTGCTGGAGTGGCCCAGAGACGACACACCTCTGAGGGGGCTGCAGCGTCTGGAGGCCCATGTGGGCAGCGCTGCCGCCCGCTGTGTGTGTATGTATGTATGTGTGTATGTGTATGTGTGTATATGTGTATATGTGTGTATGTGTGCGTGTGTGTATATGTGTGTGTATGTATGTGTGTATGTTTGTATGGGTGCATGTGTGTGTATGGGGTGTGTGCGTGTGTGTATGTATGGGTGTGTGTTTGTGTATGGGTGTATGTTTGTATGTGTGTGTGGGTGCATGTGTGTGTATAGGTGTATGGTATATATGTGTATATGGGGTGTGTGTATATGGGTGTATGTGTGTATATGTGTGTGTGTTTGTATGGGTGTATGGGTGTGTGTGTATGGGTGTATATGGGTGTATGGGTGTATATGTGTGTATGTGTGTGTATGGGTATATGTGTGTATGTGTATGTGGGTGCATGTGTGTATGGGTGTATGTTTGTATATGTGTGTATGGGTGTATATGTGTGTATGGGTGTGTGTGTATGGGTGTATGTGTGTATATGTGTGTGTGAGTGTGGGTGCATGTGGGTGTATGGGTGTATATGTGTGTATGGATGTGTGTGTGTATGGGTGTATGTGTGTATGTGGGTGTGGGTGCATGTGTGTGTATGGGTGTATGGGTGTATATGTGTGTGTGTGTATGGGTGTATGGGTGTACATGTATGTATGGGTGTATGTGTGTGTATATGTGTGTGTATGTGGGTGTGGGTGCATGTGTGTGTATGGGTGTATATGTGTGTATGGGTGTGTGTGTATGGGTGTACATGTGTGTATGGGGGGTGAGTATGGGTGTATGGGTGTATATGTGTGTATGGGTGTGTGTGTATATGTGTGTGGGGGTGGGTGTGTCTGTGTGTGTGCACGCGCTAGGTGGAGGAGTGGCGGTGCACCCCCAGGGGGTGCCAGGCCCGGGTAGCTCCTGCAGAAAGCTGCGCAGCAGCTGTGTGGAGCCCTCTGCCTGCGGGAGGAACTGCCCGTCAGAGCTGTGTCCCTGCTCTTAGAGCCTGACAGACCCTCTCTGTGGTCGCACTTGGGGACGGGTTTTTCTCCTGTGACGACTTTCACAGGGATGGCAGGCCCGATTCCCTTTGCCGCCGCCGCCAGGTTCTGCTGCCTGCCCCCTTCCTTTGCCCGGAGCACCTTCCACGGGGTTGTCCTGCCTGGGTGTCTCCAGCTCCTGAAGAGCCCTCGTGAAGGGCTTGGCAGAGCAGCCCTTGATCGCTTCTTGCCGGCAGAAGGCTAGGAGTGTGAACCCGCGGGCCCTGCACCAGGGAAAGGTTCTCTCTCTCTGGACTCTGGAGAAAGGCTCTCCTTCTGTGTCTGCTCTGGGGAAATCTGTCTGTCTGTCTCTGACTCTGTCTCCGACTCTGTCTCCATCTCTCTCTGGGGGAAAATCCTCTGTTGCTCTGTTGGCTCTCTCTTTTTTGGCTCTGGGGGAATGTCTCTCTCTCTCCCTCTCTCTATTGGCTTTGGGGGAAGGTCCTGATCTCTTTCAGCTTCTGTAGCCAGTGGTGTGACTTTTTTGAGGCTCAGAGGGATCAGGTTTAGGACACGCCCTCATCTCAAGGGAACAGCGGCCAGCTGGGATTACATCCCTGAGCAGTTGTCGGCGCCTCGGACTCATCACCGTCCCACGTGACACACAGAACTCACGCTCTAGCCTGTTCGTCCCGGGACCGGATCTCCAGGCCTTTCTCACGCAGCCCGACGGGTGGGTTCCCATCACAGGCCTCATGGTCAGTGGTCAAGTGCTTAACCACTGTGCCACCAGGCTCCTCGGCCTTAGGAAGAGAGGTTAGGACTCCACACATAATTGGAATCAAGTCAAACTCACTGCCCTCCAGTGGATTCCGTATCAGAGCTTAAATTCTGAGCACCTATTTTGCAAAAGGTGATGGATGACAGTGACAACCCCAAGCCCATTTGCAGGGTCCCCGCACAGATGACGCCTCACGAACCAAGGGTCTAGATAAGCCTGCCCTGCGGCAGAATACCTTGAGAGAGGATTACCTCCACCCCTCTCTAGTCTACTCAGGGAGGGGCAGTCTCTGAGGGGCCTGTCTGGGTTTGTCCTGGATGGAGATCACTGTACGGGGACAGTAGAGAGGTGGCGCGGTGTTAAGTCATGCCCCATCAATCTCACCCAGACTGCCCTGGGAGGAAGGCCCTGGGCCAATTTTGTGAGCCCTTCTCTCTAACATAATGTACGCGTCCCAATCATGGTCCGGTTTCTTCTCCTGTCGTCCCAGCTGTCACTGTGATGGACTGCAGGACTTTGTGACAGCTTCCTTGTGTCCCATGCCTGATGTGTAAGCACTTGTGTGGCTATGAGCTCTCGGACGCCGTCTTGACCTTGTGCTAATGGCCTCCCTCATCCGGATGTTGTGTCTACGTTTTCATGTTGTCTTTGTCTCTCATAAGATGTGATAAATGTTCTCCTTAAGTTCTACTTGAGATGGGGGTCTCTTTTGTACCCTAAGACAATTCAGAGTCCTAGTGATCCTATAGGATGGGGTAGAACTGCCCCTGTGGGTTTCTAAGACTCGAGATCTTTACAGGAGCAGACAGCCTCATCATCCTCTGGAAGAGCAGCTGGTGGTTTCGAACTGCTTACCTTCTGGTTAGCAGGCCAATGCATCACCACTAGGACACCAGGGTTGGGGCCAATGGGCACAGTTCAATCTCTAACGTTGTGCTCCGTGAGGGTGAGTTTCGTGGTCTCCAATCTCAGGCAGGATTGCAGCTCCTTCCCAGAGGCGGGCAAGGGTGAGGTGGAAGCAAGGTTGGCTGGGCCTCCTGGTGCTTCAGACACCGCTTCTCTGCTGCATGGGCTCCTGCCAGTTCCTGCGTGACCGTCAGGGAATGTGGACCTGTGTGTGCCGGGTACTCGGTGCAGCACAGGCTCCCACAGGTGCATGGGAAGCAGGGAGCTGGACAGGTGCATGGGAAGCAGGGAGCTGGACACAGCCCCTGGCACTGACCGGTGACCCTGCTCCTTCCTTCCATTGCAGGAGGACAGTCAGTGGTCCACACTGGCCCCCCCATCATGGTCACCCTGACCAACAAGGCCATTTCCTTTGGCTGCAAAATCACCTACCCATACACCCCAAGGTACAAGAGCTTCAACGTTAGCTACTTCCACATGGACCGCCAGAGCCAGAGGAGCCCCAAGAAGCATTCTGACTGCCAACCCAGCCAGGGCAGAGAGAACCAGACCCACACCGTGGAATGCCGGATCACCGTCCTGCTACTGGAGGCGTCTGCCACCGGCACCTACTACTGCTCAGTCCAGTGGCCAAAGGACATCAAAGTTGGCAATGGCACCTTCATCCTGGTCCGAGGTAAGGTTTGTTCCGTGGCTCCCTGTAGGGTGAGGGGCCTAAAGCAGAACAGAGGAGCCAGAAGCACCCAGCTTATGAAGAACGGACAGGGTGTGGGGTGTGGATTTGCTTCTGGCATCCTCTGGCAGGCCACTTGAGGCAGGTCACTTGGCCCCATGGGTCTCAGCATCATGTGAGCACAACGTGAGCACATGGGTGTGAGTGCCCATGTGCATCTTCCTGTTCTTCACCATAGCCTCGAAGGAGAGATGACCCTAGATGTCAACTACAGGCCTGCCACTGAAGTCATGACTCTCTGGCCTGCCTTTGTCACTCCCTCAGGAGGGAGCTGGGGGCTGCAGAATCCCACAAACCTGGTCATCCTGCTTCCCAGGGTGTGGCCTTGGGCCTGATCTTCTTGGCAATATCCTGCCTGTCAGAGGATTTTATGGGATAAAATTAAATCTGGTGATCAGAAGTGCCCAATAAGTTGCAGACATTGATGTGCCTGGTATATGATTTGATCTGGCAAATATTTGAGAAATGGATGGATGGCTAAATGGATGGATAGCTGGTGAGTGGATGGATGGATGGCGGATGAATGGGTAGATGGATGAATGGATAGATGGGTAGATGGATGGCTGAATGGTGGATAGATGGGTGGATGGTCAGTAGATGGGTGACTGGATAGATGGGTGGATGGATGGATGGATGGATGGATGGATGGATGGCTAGATGGAGGATGAATAGATGAATGGGTAGATGGATAAATGAATGAATGGATAGATGGATGGATGGTCAGTAGATGGCGAATTGATGGATGGATAGCTGGTGGGTGCATAGATGGATGGTGGATGAATGGATAGATGGTCAGTAGATGGATGGATGGATGGATGGATGAATAGATGGATGGATGGATGGATGGATGGTGGGTGAATAGATGGATGGTGGATAAATAGGTAGATGGATAAATAGATGGATGGATGACTGAGAGGAAGGAGGAAAACGGTGCCCTTCACTTAGCCTGATGCAGGCTAGCCACCTGCTTGACCCAGTATAAGCATAACTTCTGCCACCTCCTTCAGCCTGCACTACATCCCTACCCACCTCACTGCAGTAGATCCTTATAATCACCATTTCACAAACGGGAGGAGGGGGCTCCAAGAGGTGACATTACTTCCCCAGGCTTGGAGCAGAACTGAGTTCACTCCAGAAGTAATGCTGTCGAGAATCAAGGCCATAAACAAAAGAGCTGTCGCCAAAGCAGGCATGGAAAGGAGCATGAGTGGAGAGGGGTTTCAGGGCTGGCCAGGTGGGGGTCTTACAAGGGATTGCTGTCAACAGGGTCCTGGGTCCGAGAGGGTGTAGGCCTTTGGGTGGGTGGGTGGTGCCCGCAGCTTGTCTTGGATAACTGACTCCTCTCCTTCGGGCTCCTCCTTCCAGACTCAGGCTACCGGGAGCCCCCGAGGACCTCCCAGCGGCTCCTGCTGTTGAGTTTCACTGGCCTCCTGGCTGTGCTCAGTGTCCTGGGCACTGCTCTGCTGCTCTGGAAGAAGGTATGCATCTCACCAGCACTGCTGTCTCTGCCCATCCCCGCTGCTCCTTAGGACATGCCAAAGGGGCAGAGGGGCTGCCAGCCTCCCTCCCTGTAGCAGGTCTGATGGGCCCTGGTGAGGCAAGGACCCATCCACACCTGCACCAGATGAGCCGCCCCACTCACCTGCTCCTCGTGGCCCTTCCCCGCCCCCCCCAGGGGGGAGGGCTGGTGGCATCCCCCCTGTACCCTCCATGTGGCTCCCCGATGCTGGGACTGCATCCTTTCTCTTCTTGTCACCAGATCCCTTTTGATCTTGGTCTAAGAAACCAGGGCTCCCCAGCCTTTCCGGGCTGCGCTGAGCAGATGCTGGGGGCACAGGCTCCTGTGTGCCAGTTCCAGCAAACCCGCCCCAACACACACACACCTGCCCAGCCTGGAAGGAAAGAAGCCATTGTGTCCCAGGCCACACATGCGAGGTCTCGGCCGTGCCACACTGGCAGTCTCTGAGGGAGACTTCCCAATTCACAGGGAGGCTCAGAGAGGTCGTGATGTGCTCAAGGTCGAGCAGCAAGCAAGAGGCACGGAGTGGGTCTAGTTCTTTGCTGGCCCACCCCTGCTCACCCCACAGGTATACACACCTGGGGAGGGGCGTCTCCCCACTGGTGCACCCCAACTGCCATTGCCACCCCGCCTTGCCAGGCATCAAGTGTCACGAACACAGAGACCGAGGTGGGAGGGAGGGACCTTGCTCAGGTGGCTCTGTGTCAGGAAGTGGGTGAATGTCCCCTCAGGCCTGGGGACAGCAAGGCCTGCCCTTGCCACTTCCTGGCTGTGTGCCCTAGGGCAAGTTGCCTGCCCTCTCTGTGCCTCCGCTTCCCCCTGTGTGGCACGGAGGTGCCCTGAGGGCACCTCTGGCGCGTTCCCTGGGGGGAATGGGGGTAGCGGGAGAGAAGGCAGGTAGGGTGCTCCCACTCAAGCTGCACCTGGCGCTGCCAACAGAGCCCCCGGCTCCAGAGCCATTATGATTTCGGGGCTGGGGGTGGCGCTGGCTCCTGTCTGCGAGTTAAGTAGCTCTCCAGAGCTAATCCCGGAGTAAATGGGCTGGGGGTTGGCAGGCGGCCAGGGTTTTTAATTAGCTTCTGCCCTGCGAGGAGGCTGCTGTTGCTCCACTGATGGCAGTGTGGGGCCTGGGAGGAGCGGGGAGGCCAGGCCCGCCTCCCTCTGCCTGGGAAGGAGGCGGCTGCATTGCTGCCGGCAGGCTCCTACCCCTTCGCCCTGCCTCAGGGCCACCATTAGCGCCTGCAGCCTGGCACCTCTGCTAAAAGCATCCATGCAGGGCAGGGCCACCTCTCCCTACCCCAAGACCCCCTTCCCATTCCTCAAGACTTCCAGGCCTTTTGCCCATGCTGTTCCCTCTGCCTGGAACTCCCTGCTCTCCTTCTTGTGAATGTACCCCCAAACATCCTTTCCTGCAGGGAGGTGTCCCCTCCCTGTCACCCTTCAGTAAAGTCGCCAGGAGGGCAGGGACAGCAGCCAGCTCTCCACACAGCCCAGGTAATGAGGGGGCCTGACCAGGGTGTGCTGTTGACTCAGGGCTGTTGAAGGGCCCCCCGGGGCCAAGCCCTAGCCCTTGAGTCCTCAGTGGTCCCTCGCACAGTCTCACCGAGAAGACTCAGAGAGGGCAGTGGGGCTGCTCCGGGTCACAGAGGCGATGAGTGGACGAGCAGACCAGGGAGCCCGGCCTTGCAGGCACCTGCTGGAAGCTCACCTGCAGCAGACAGCTCTGTGGCCCAGAGCCTGCCAGCTGGTACCATGGCTACCACTAGGCTTCCCTGAGCCAGCCGCTGCCCGAAGGTGAAGCCTGTGCGGGCCTTTGTCATTTCCCGAGTCCCCAGGCCAGCGAGGAGTTTAATAAAAGGTTTCAGAGGCCTGGGCCATGCTTCTCTGGAGGTTTGGAGAGACAGGTGGCTGTCTGGGAGCTCCGGGGTGCAGTGTGTACGCACTAGGCTGCTAATGCGCAGCTCAAAACCACCAGCCACGCCATGGGGGAAAGACAAGCGACGGGCGCAATCTCGGAAACGCACAGGGGCAGTTGCACCCGGTCCTATAGGGTCGCCATGAGTCAGAAGTGACCCGATGGTAGTGAGTTTGATGTTTTGGTTTTGGTTAGTGTCTGTGTGACTGGTGGCCATCCGTCACCCTCTCCCACGGAGGGGTCTCTGGGGGAAGGAGGGCAGCAGCAGAACGGCTTGTCCCCCGGGCCTCACAGCGGTGACCCCTTCCCCACAGAAACAGATGCAGGTTGGAGGGAAGCAACCAGCCAGCAGGTCCAAGCAGCCTCCATCGGAATCCATTTACACGGTGAGTTGGGCCGGGGTGCCCCCTTCCCTCGAAGGCCTGCGAGAGGGCCTGGGGGTTCACCCAGCCCTGGCGCCAGGCCCAAAGCACTGGCTCTGTCGTGCACTGGCTATATGACCTCCCTGTGCCTCAAGTTCTTTGTCTGTAAAGTGGGACAATAAGTCAGACTCTGGAGACATGATTATGAAGCATTATGCAGGTGTGTGGGGCCCCCCCACCCGGCCCTGCTGGCACTCCCCGAGTGTGAGGTCCCTCCCTGGCTGCCCCCTCCTTTTCTGGAATGAGGGATTCAGCCACCCACCAGTTCATGGGGAATAAGGGAAGTTTCTCCATCTGACTGTTCCTCTTCCCAGTTGGTCAACCTCTTCCTGTTTGTCTTGCATAAACAACAGCCCGCTAACAACAGAGAGGACAAAAGAGGACAGGGGGAGGCACTGTCCTACATCTTAACGCAGCGCCAGCGCGGGGGTGGGGGTGTGTGTGTTTCATCCGCCATGTACATCCCCGACCCCGACTCCCACCCCCACCCCAGCAGCACCCCCACATTGTTGTGTGTTGGGACCATCACAGGTGGGGACACGGGGCAGGAGCCTGGTTACTCCAACCAGGTGTCATCAGCATGGAGCTCGTCCTCATCATTATCTGAGGAGTGGCCACGGCCCATGAGCTCAGGGAGCCTTGGTCTTTGCCAGACTGGAGTGCTGACCCCGCCCTGTTCCCCCTGGAGAGCAAGAAACTGCTCTTTGCCATCCAATTCAGTTCAGCTCCCCAAGGAACACGTGCTCACCCTTGTAGAGCAGGCAAGGACAAACGCCACCCAGTGTCATGGGGCGTCCCCTCCATGGGGCTGGACCCCGCCTGGGACCTCATTGTGCAGCAGGAGGCCACCTGGCACCTGGCACTGGGGTGGGGGGTCCCTGGTGCAGAAGCTCGGGTTGCCTCTGGCACGGCTGCCTGGCATGTGGTCACTGCTCCCGTCTGTCCCCACCACCCTGAGGCACACAGGAAGCTCCATTGCCCCAACACCCTACCCAGAGCACGATGCCCCAGTGTCCCAAAGATGGGGCGGGTGGGGTCAATCGAAGCAAGGGGAAGGGCCATATGGGGAAGTAGCAATCGCTTCAAATGGCACATAACCCATTCCCTGCAAACGGCCTTGCCTTCTGCTCCTTCACCCCGGAAACTCCCCCTGGCTGCTGGGCCTGTGCCGCCCCGGCTCACCCAGCTCTCCTCTCGCTGCAGCCCTCAGAGCATCTTCCTCAGAAGAATTCTGGGCTCCGTAGATAAAAGCAGTCTCTCTCTCTCTGTTTCACACACACACACACACACACACACACACACACGCGCGCGCGCGCAAGAGAGAGACTTCCAAAAGATCATGGAAAAAGTATATTATCTCTTAATGCCATTTCCCACAAATTTTCCGAAGCTCCCTGGCACACAGTGCCATACTGAGCCCTGGGGGCACCGTGGTTGAAAGTACTGTGAAAGGCGAGGGTTCAAACCCACCAACTCCTCCACCGGAGAAAGATGAGGCCGTCGTCTGCCTCCATAGACAGCCCAGCCCTGGAAACCCTGGGGGGCGGTTGTGCTCTGTCCTGTCGGGTGGCGGTGAGTCAGAATCAGCTGGATGATAATGGATTTATAGCTTTGGCAGATACGTGTAATGTGCCATCTAGATCACATGCATGCATGTGTGTGTGTGTCTGCATCCATAGGGTTAACCGTAGGTAAACGGAGAAAAGGGTGAACTTGTCAGGGATTTCACCGTGCTTGGATCCACAATCAGAGCTCATGGAAGCAGCCGTCAGAGATCAAACATTGCAGCTCTGGGGGTCCATCTGCTGCACCAGACCTCTGTAAGAGTTGGAAAGCAAGGATGTCACTTGGAGGACCGGAGTGCGCCTGACACAAACCACGGTATTTTCCACTGCTTCCTATTCACGTTTCCCTTGAATAAGGAAGACCACGGAAGAATCAATGCGCTTGAATTGTGGTACTGGAGAAGACTATTGGAAGTACCACGGATTGCCAAAAGAACAAACACATCTGTCCGGGAGGACGTACAGCCAGAATGCTCCTCAGGGGCAAGGATGGGGAGACTTTGTCTCACCTACCTGGGACATGTGGTCAGGAGAGACCCGTCCCTGGAGAAGGACACCATGCTTGGTCAAGCGGAGTGGCAGTGAAAATGAGCAAGGCCCTGGACAAGATGGAAGGACACAATGGCTGCAACAACGGGCTCAAATGTAACGACGATTGTGAGGCTGGTGCCGGACGGACGGACAGTGTTTCATTCTGTTGCATGTGGGGTGGCTGAATCAGAACCAACTTGATGGCATCCATGGCAACAGGCATCTTAATGGACCAGAAAGGACCAACTCACAACGAGCCATCGGAATCCCATCTTCTTTCAGGAGAAATACTAATAATGCCGCATTTTATCCCTAACCAGTCTTTTTTCTATAAATAGACACCCATCGCACACCCACACTGTTTTATTAGAACCATGCAGCTATCATTGCCACGTTCCACTAGATCATAAACATCGCTCTCTGAATCAACACCTTCTACAAGCTGACTTTTAATGGAGGAGATGTGCTTTGGAACGGAATATCGTTCTCTCCCGTGTCTCGAATCTTCTAAGGCTCAGGCTGACTTCTCTGGCTCACGGAGAAGAGACCCAACCACCCTGTCATGTGGCATGGAGAGACTTTAGGGTCAGCAAAGAGTGTCATGAGAAGCCGTGGGAGTTTGCTAGCCCTGGAGACCAAGCCCTTCTAGCTGGGGTCGACCCGGGCAGGTAAGAATGACGTGAGCCATTTATTGAGCACTGACCATGGGGCAGGCGCTGTTGTTTGTTGTTGTTGTTGTTTCTAGTTGCCGCCAGGTTAGTTCGGCTCCTAGTGAGCCCGTGTACAGCAAAGCAAACCACGGACGGGTCCTCTGCCCCCCGCAGAGTCGTGGCTGTGTTTGAGACCATGGTTGCATTCACAGGGTCAGTCAATCTCGCTGGACGCCAGGCTCTTCATTGGCCACTCTCTACGGCTGCTGTCCACAAGGTGCTCAGTGGCTAATCCCGCAGAAATGGACAGGCTAGTCCTTCTTCTTCTGCTTTACCAAGCCTGTTGGTCTTCTCCAGGGACTGCTCCTTCCTGATAGCATGTCCAAAGTATGTGAGTCC